TTTTTAACAAAAAAACGAAGTCCAGATGACATGATTCAACCTTTTTTGTTGTTATATACCTGGATGACTGAGAAAACAAACTTTGTGTTTTTGAAACCATTAGTGAAAAGGCCAGACTTCAGGGGTATCTGAGGCAGGCTTGAAACACAAGAGTCAGGGTGGCTTCTGGGTAATACCAGATGGCTAGGCCTCAGACTGACGAAGCCTCTTGGATGAGGGGCGAAACGTTTCTTTTTAACAAAAAAACGAAGTCCAGATGACATGATTCAACCTTTTTTGTTGTTATATACCTGGATGACTGAGAAAACAAACTTTGTGTTTCAAGAAGTAGAATCCATCCAGAGGACCAGACAACTTTTTTAGAAATACAAACTTTTTATCATGTGTAAAGAGGAATCATTACACTAATTCCATACATAATTACTTTTTAAAACTTGATCTCACCTCTCTTCTAAGCACAAATGTAAGTTTTGAACACATTTATGATTTTAAATGTATCGTTACATAAATTAATGGATTTTACCTGTTGCTTTTCGTGCCAACATTTTAAACAAACATGTCATATAATCTATTGCACTCTGAATATGTGTTGGAGAATAATGTAAGCTATAGACATTATTTATTTGTTATGGTTGATTAGGTATGACATTATTCTTGAATCAGATTGACTTCAAAAGTCAATCAGTTGTAGATGTACATCCAATAATTAATTTATTAGAGTGGGTTGCATTTTTAGGGCCAACCAAAATCCATCCACATGTAGACTGTGAAGCAGACATATTTTAGCTTTATCCCTCATTTTGTTCTACCTATGATTATCCTAGTGAATAGCATTAATCTTCAGGCATTAAAAGTCTCTGGAGCTGAACAGAATTTGATCAGTAAAGAATTAGTGGAACAACTCAACATCTCGACAATCCAATGTCCACATTTTCTGACAGCATCAGTACTTTCAGGACAACCATTTCCCTCCATTACTCACAAAACTACAAGAATTATTCTGGTAATTTTTGGAAATCACCATGAAAACAACAAGTTCTTTATTTTGTTCCTCTTCCACCGAACTGTTACTGTTTGGTTTTCCCTGGTTACCCCATCATAACACAACAAACAACTGGGAAGAACAGATAATTCAGTTCTGGAGCCCATTTTGTTTAGACAATTGTTTCCAAATCACTGTTTCAGTCTCTACTCATTAACCTTGCTATGGTGAAATCATGGATTTAACTAAGGTTCTTAAGAAATATCATTATCTTGTCACTGTATTTAATAAGCTCTCTTTGTTACTCCTCACAGACCTTATGAAGAACCTCCTTCCTGGAGCTCCTTTATCATCTAGTAGTTGCCTAAACAAACTTTCAGGTCCTGCCTGAGAGAGAAACTATTCAATAATGCACATAAAATTCATTAGCTTCAGGCATCAGTTTTTGACCCTTTACATTTCCTGTAGGCACAGGATCTATTTTTGAAAAGAAGGCTACGTCTTTGAGACCTTGCATTGATTACCATGGCTTAAATCAGAGTACCATAAAGAATAGCCTCTCCCCCTTACTGATTCCCTGTATGGGCAACTCCATTCAGCTAAGACCTTTTTCCAAACTGTAAAAAACAAAAAAACAAAACAACTACTCACTAAATATAAAATAATTAAAACACTGTGCAGACTTTAATAAAATTCTCAGAAAGTAATACCCGGAAGTACATTGACTACTGATTAATTCTTAGAGTTAACTTGATTCTTGATTTCTTTTCTGACTTGCCCTCGACGAAGACGGTCACTCATCTTTCCTCTCCTGCTTTTGCTCTTTGTCCTGTGTAACAGAGCCTCTCTTTACACATCTTCCAAATTGTAAATTATTATGGATCTGGTCAGCTGCTCTCTCAACACAATTGATAAAATTTTGACAAGGAGACGGTGCAGGAGAACCCTCATTCCCAGAAAGGACACACGCAGCTGGATATGTCATGGATTCCTGGAGTGTGTGGAAGATGATGGGCCTGACTGTATTGTCTGTTGAGGACATAGAAGACATGTACATAATCAGATTTATGATAACAGGGTTTTTGTTTTTGGGAATCAGCGGATACCTGGGATATCGACTAATTAGGAAGACATCGGCAGCAGTTTCGGCAATAGTAAAGCTGCCTGCATGTGAAGGATTACTCCGTGTTTCGAGCTCTTAGATTAACATGCTTTGCGAGCTGAACTGTAAGCTGGACACAATTTTTGAGACTCGTGGGCCACTTGCAGCTCCTAAGACTTGACGGCATGAAGGAATCGACCTTGGAGAAGGCTAAAAGCAGAGACCAGCGGAATGTGGGCTGTTTGGATTCGCCATTGAGTGTACCAGCAGAACTGAAGGCAGACATGAAATCAGTAGAGTCGGCCTGCCCAAAACAATTGTTGTTTATCTGAATCTGGCCTCCTCGATGACCTTGGATAGGTCAACTAATCTCGAATTGATCCTGGTGGATACTTAAATTGAGAAGCTCTGCTCCCCCACCCCGAGAACATCTGTGGACCCTTATCAGAGTGGACCTGCTGAGAGGCACTGTAACATCTTTATCAGGACTATGGAAACTATCTGGAAGTGTTCATAGACATTCTCACTGTCTTGTCGTCCTCCTCCTCCATCCATCCATCCATCCATCCATCCATTATCTTTACCCGCTTATTCCATTTTGGGTCACGTGGGTCGCCGGTGCCCATGTCCAGCAATCACTGTGCGAGGGGCAGGGTACACCCGGGACGGGTCGCAAGTCCATCACAGGGCCACATAGAGACAAACGAGACAAACAACCATTCACTCTCTCACTCACACCTAGGGACAATTTAGAGTTACCAGTCAGCCTAACATGCATGTTTTTGGTCTGTGGGAGGAAACCGGAGCACCCGGAGAAAACCCACGCATGCACAGAGAGAACATGCAAACTCCACCCAGAAAGGCCCCCGGACCGGGGTTTGAACCAAGGACCTGCTTGCTGAGAGGCAGCAGCTCTACCTGTTGTTCCACCGTGCTGCGTCCTCCCCCTCCTCCCTTGCAAAATGTATGTTGCTTTTGCTGAGGTCGATTTTTGATACATTACTCAGTGCTCTGTGTCAAGGACACGGTGTGAGAGATTTTTAAAAAAATACATTCTCTCCTCGTGTTTCCGTCTCCTTTTCTTATCTAAGAATAATGGCAGCGCTTCATGGAAGCGGCAGCCCTGGTTCACTTCCATCTATCCTTCAGACGGCTGTACGGAACGTATTTTCACTGTACTTAACTGTGCAATGACAATAAAGTTAATTCTGATTCTACTTGGCTGTTACCGTTAACTGACCTTAGTACACTCATAAATGTCTATAGTTTGATTTACATATATTGAACTAAAACTTGGTGTCGGAGTAGCTGAGAGTCATCCCTATCACACACGCTGAGTGCTAAAAGGTTCTTTGAGGTAGTCTGATTAAACTTTCGTAGTACACGTTAAAACTCAAAAACACTGGACGAAATTACTTTATTTCAAACATTCCTTTAGTAACCTGGCCGGATGAGCTTTTAGGTCTTTTTTTTATGTTTTAAACTGGTGTTGTTGTTGACTTTAAGCACTCAAGCTTCAGCTAAATATCTATAAAGTGTAGAAAATTTACTGAAATAATTCACTAACTTCACCCTTCCAAATGTGTAAAATAATCTAAGATGAAAGTGAATGTCCAGTCGTTCCCTTTTAGCCTATAGCACGAGGATAGTACCAAATTGTGAATGTGTCAAATCAAAGGCTGCACTTTAACATATGAAATGCTCAGTTTAATGTAAAGTGCATATAAAAATAATAGCAATTCCACTTGATTTGTGAGTTTAGATTTGCAGTTTAAAGTTCTGTTATTGAGGAAAACTGTAC